AATATCACATAAAATTTTAAAAATAACCATACACCTGTCAACATTCAGCCTAGACCTCAACAAACTGAGGAACTGGAAACAACTCCACGTCTGTCTGCAGCTACCCCTAGACCCCAGGGTAGCTCCACGACTAATAGTCGTCCTGGTGTTACAGACAAGATCCCGAATGCAAAGAGCTGGATCAATGACTTCGATAGTAATGGCAAGTGCTCAAAAGATATTGTGGTTGAATGGATGCTAGTAGGAGATAATTAGAGTAAATTCAGCGGATGTGAAAGTCAAAAACCAGGTGAAGCCGAAAGCCAAACAGGTATGGCGAAAAAGCTGGCCCAAATCCTCGTCAACAGAGGACATCGTGAAAGAACCATAAAAAGTATCATAGAGACGATTAGATATTTGAAAAAATCGTTTACCGCTACTTACAAGACGGTAACCGCTACTGGATATGGTGTTGATCCTGCTGTTGATGGTAACGTCACTGTTGAAGGTAAGAAGAAAACTACTAACTGCTAACTATTATACCGTTAAATTTGTTTAACTTACTATATCTAAACTTTTAGAGAAAACCACTCATTTGTTTAAGTGGTATTATGATCTTCTCCCTTTACTTGGCTCGGATCCACTTGTAACTGGTGAAGGAATGCAGTCGAATGGGGATATCGTCAGTGGGACTCCTGATTTAAGTGCGTATGATGAACAGCCTGATCATGAAGACGATGTTCATTCAACCAACATGGATGATGTTGATGATGATGATGATGATGTTTTGCCCCTCTCTTCCACTAGACCACCTTCGCCTAGACAAAGTAGAGGAAAAAAGAGGAGTCTCAATGAGTGCATTACCGACTTCTTTGAGAGACAAAGAAAAGTATCTAAGAAGTATGAAGATCGCGAGGACGAGCTATTGGAGTTTCAAAGAGAAAAGAGGGATGACGAGAGAGTAGCAATGATATTCGAGAGACAAAAGCAATGGCTGCTTTTGAATAAAGAACTTCGAAACGAAGAAAAAGGATCTGAAGGATATGAAACCATAAAGAAGTTTATGGAAGACCTTGCAGATTATTAACCTATTTTTTTTTAAATAAATGTTTATTAATTTTGAGCGTTGTTATGCAATATATCATTCTTCAACTGATTTCTTCTGAAATTTAAACTACTATCATCATCTGACCTATTCTGCGAACTACTGATGAATCTTCTATGTCCACTGGCCTCTCTGAACTCCTCTATGTCAGTTGAATCTTCTAAAAGGAAATTATGCATAATGCAACAAGCACGAATCCATCTTCCCGCTTCGATCAAAGTTTTCCTGTCACGAATTGTAATATGAAGCTCTTGAAGGCTTTGGAACTTTCCTTTCAGAATTCCATTGCAATGTTCAATTGCGATACGAGTTTGAGCTACATACAAATTAAATTTCTCTATTTCTTCTTTTGTAGCCTGTACTGAACCGGTTCTGTATGATGAGATGACAGTCGAGGTAACACTGTATGCACTATCAGCTAATATATATTCACCAGGGGAGAAATGTCTATGTGGGGATTTGGCCAGACTTGTTGCTTGATAAACATTATTATCATGAATAGCACCAGGACATCCATTGACACAAACACGAATTCTTCGTTTGTGATCACAAACGAGCATTGTAGAGATACCATACGCACGTTTATAAAAATAAAAATTATTCTTGGCATAGCTGGGACTACGCTCGGTTCTTATAAATGTACCATCGACAAATCCGACGCATGACTTGAAGTGGCTTCTTTCGCCTATCTTTATTGATATATGTTCCCTTTCTTCTGCCGCTGGCCAGTAAACATACTGATCTTCTTTAGCCAGAATTGCATTTATGGTTCTCTTGGTGTAATTGATCACAGTACCTTCTACTTTTAATGTTAGATCATAATAAATCGGAGCGTTTTTTTTGTCATACCAGAAACACCAAAGTAATCGGATACCTGCGTGATTGAAGCAGCATTTCCTTTACATCCCAATCGATGAAAAGTGATCAAGAAATGGAGCTCAATTTTCTCTTTCGGGAAGTTCTCGAACTCCTCATAATCACCAAACGCTCTGACTGCGTCTTTGAAGGCTTCTTTACTCATCCTTATTTTACTTTTAAAGACACTTTCTCTACCTTCGTTTAATAAATCGAGATATGTGCCAGTACGAATACGAGTACCCCAGTTTTTTTTTACGCTGTATCTTTCGGTTTGTAAAGCAAGGTAAAAAGCTGCCATTGTTTCCAGATTCTGTTTTGTCATTGCGATTATGCGACGATCTACTTCGGTCGACTTGGTTTCTCGTTCATATTTTGTAATGAAGAAAAACAGCATTTTTTTAACGTCTTCCATGAGACGTTTTTTAGTTGACAAGAGAGGCATAATAATAATAAAAGTGTTGTTGAAGTGGAAAAGACTAAAGTAATAAATTATGTCATGCTTGATAGCCTTACATCATGTAACGAAATACCAAAATGTTATTGGACGAAAAAAAAGCTGGAATTAATTTTTATTTTGCTGGAGCACTTTTTGCTCCAGCAAATTTAAGAAATCACAAAAAGAAATCGGAAAATGCTTGGCCAATAGAATTTATCTAAAATTTGCTGGAAGCTGGAACCTGGAGGCTCGATTTTATTTGAGCGTCCCTAATGATTAGTAAGAAGCTTTTGGACATTATGAATGATGCTTTGATCAGAACAACACAAAGAGCCACAGCGATGGGAGGTATTAAAACACTTTTTTTTGGTGATGTTGCACAGTTGCTACCTGTACGTATTGACGAAGGCCTAATTTGGGATTCTCCGCTATACAACTACTCTACTAAATTTACATTGCACGCACCGATTCGACAAGTTGATCAAATACTTATTGATGTTCTTAACAAAGTTCGTATATGTAATTTCGATGAGGGAGTGGTTAAGTTTATCAATTCTAGAACGGTCCTTAAAAGTGACATACCAGCCAGTTGCCTACGTCTATACACAACGCGAGTTAACGTAGACAGAGCCAATACCAAGGAGTTTAAAAACCTGGAAGGCGATTCGATCTCGATCACTTCTATAGATATTTACAACGGTGGCAATCGGAAATCAGCTGTCAGAGCCTTAAAAGAAACCAGACTTCTTGAAGAACTATTACTGAAAGTCGACATGCCGGTCATGCTCCTTCAAAACTTGCGGGTCTCTCAAGGTTGGGTAAATGGCACTTTAGCAAACATTTTAGAAGTCGATGATGAAAATATCTTACTTGTAAAACACAACGCCGACGGCAGTCAACAAACAATTTGGATTCAACGAATTACCAGATCGATTCCAGGCACAAGCTACGTCAGGTCACAATTTCCAATAGTCCCTGCGTTTGCTACTACCATACATAAAGCACAGAGTATCACAATTGATTCTGTTGCGATTCACTTAGATAACATGCCTTCCCACGGTCAAATGTATGTAGCAATGTCCCGAGTAAGAAAAGCTGATGATTTATACTTCTTTGGTGCAGATCTACCTGTCAGAATTAAAAGAAAATTTGGTGTGAACCTTGACGCTGTTGATATGATTGAATACTCTGAGCAAAGGCATCAAACCCCATGAGTCGTACAAATATTATTCTATAAATAACCACATGCATAGCACTATAAATATCAACACAAGCAACAATATGACTTTTAAATTATATATATAATAAATATCGACTACCAAGTCATAATGTTTAGTAACAAACAACTCTTAAAGATGATCTAAACCTCGATTAGATCTCAAGAAAAATTACGAAAGAAAAGTCGAAACAAAGTTACATAGTATTGTCTCCATTTCTTTTTTGCGATTCTCATTAAATCACGGTAAATTGATTTAAGTACTTTTTTTTTTTTTTTTTTTTTTTTTTTAATATGTGAAAACAATTTTCTGCGTCCAATTTATAAAATTATCCCCTCCCTCCTTCACGGCAACTTATGAAATGTTAGACAGCTGGCGATCCTTCGCCTTATTTGGTAATGTATCTTTGACGGGACTATGAGGATTATATTCCGTCATGGACGGAATTACAGTTCTCGGGGTTATCCAATATTATATTAACGCATCTCGTAAATTTGCATTTAAGAGTGGATGAATCGATACAAATTTGAACCACGAGAATGATTGATGATAGTTGGACAACAGCTGATGTTTTCAGACAGCAATCACCACAACGAGTGAAACGATTCTGGATTCACGTAAATTGTTTAAAAGGGAAATATTGTAAGGGTCAGGAAGACAATATCAATCCGTGGACAATTAAAATTAATGGATGTATGGTTAAAATCAATGGATGTATGCTTAAAAGCATTGGATGGATACTCAAGATCAATGGATGCATGCTTCGAATTAATGGGTACCCATTATTTAATGTCACACAAACGGTTGCATTCTGATACTAACAAGCTATCTCTATTTTCCTGGATACAGGGTATGTGCAGCCAATTTCGTCTCTTTTTGAGGTTTTAAATCAATCGTTTTTTTCATGGTAATCTGCCCAATATGCTTCTTTTAGACGTACTTTTAAGACGATTAGTATAACTTGAGAGAATTATCAGGACCCAATTATATATTTTAAAGACCAATAATAAAGATTTACTTCTATTAATAAACATATAGAATCTAACTAATAGACATATCTATAGACTGCATATAGCTCAGGTAATGTGTAAAAAACTATATGTAATAGGGTAGGAGACATTCAATACCAGAGAAAACCTTATAGATGTGCTCCCTAAAAAAAGAAACCTAATATGCCACATTGTTTACACCACATGACCTGTTTTACGATTATAACAATATTTTCCTATTATATGGAGACGAGGTATGTACTCTCCGTACTCAACATCCTGTCTCCGTCTATGTAATGAATGATGTCGGTATATTATGAAATATTCCGATATTCTAGCGTTCATTTCTTGCTTAGATGACATACTACTGGAATTGCATAGATTTATTTAAATTGCATACCTCTTCTGTCCGTTATTTATGCCACATGAGTATTTAACCACGCAAGGTAAACGGTCTATTAATTTTGAGTAAAATATAACCTTAGGTCAAACATATAGCCATATTTACCCTTTCCACTAACCTGCGGCGGTGAAGCATCCACCGAAGAGCGTGGACGTACTGATATAATTAATAAAAAAGGAGTACCGTAAAACCTAAAAATCATCTGACTGTTCTCACTTATCTTAACAGGATAAGCATTTACATATGACTATAAATCAGTTATTTCAACTAAAAAGCAAGTAAACCGAGCCTCCAACACTAACATCAGCCATGTCATCAAATAATGTGGGTATATAACGATCTGTGGATTGATAAGCGCCAACTGAGAGAAATAAGCTGGCGTGGTTTAAAATTTTGAAAGGGGGCTTTGTTAATTAGCAAAGTTTAGAAACGTTTCTTGCTTTTTTTTCAAGTCCTCATCCTAGCTTCTACATTGTGAAATAACAAAACAAGAAATAGAATCTTGGTATGTCACCTTCTATACATTAGATGAACGTTTCACCATTTTCATCAATCGCACAATTGTGACAATGTCGGCAATGTCACTAATACCATTTTTTTTCTTCATTTTTTTGTGTAGGGTACAAAAGTTGGAATACAAGAGCAACACCAAGCAGCCGAATGTCTCTTTATGATTCCCAATGCTGCGTAGAAACGTCTTTTTTCTTCGAATGCCTATTCAAAACAACAAATGCAATCTACCCATGTACCAGTTAGTCACATATAAGATTTTGCCCTATTTTATTATAACACTGTTAGTTTGGCTTTGAAGAGAACGCTCAAACCTACCTTGTCGTATAGTGGTTCAAGTCCAACAGAACTTGTTCATGACCACCTTTAGCTATTAACTATGATAACCCTTGTTTAAAAAAGCTAATGGAGTAAACTTGAAAATTTTGCCAAAGCTTGCTAGCACTGTAGAATTATTCGAAATTTAGTTAGATTTGATGAATAGGCTCCGGTAAACAAACAAAAATCGTTTTTACTATTAATTTGAGGCCACTAACTAAAGACTTTATAGTCATGATATCTTAAGAAATAAGACAATCATCATCATCACTACTTAACATAAAGTTTTGATAAAAAAAGATCTAATAGCTGACCATAATCCTCATTACAAACAGGATAATCAACGAAGTTGGATTAAAGTAAATCGTGTTTGTATTTCACATGAAATATAGAAAAGCCATTCCTTACATAATATTGTTGGTATTTCTACCTCAAGTGACTTTAAATCTCTTTTTTTTTGTAAACTCCTGTAAGAGTATGTAGTGGCACAATCAAAAATTATTTAATGATATAACTAATATAACTCATTTCAACTATTTGACAGAAACACTACGAAGAACAGAACATTAGTTTATTTCGCGCATGTTGCAAGTGTAATTAAAGGATGATAAAGGTTTTTCGATTTCAAATTGTCAGGTTTTATTTGGTGATGCGTAAGTAAGATGAGACAAAATAGGCTTAATCACATTACTGACCTCTTGATCTCGAAATTGGTATCTCTTCGCTAATTCAGTAGCAGGAAGTCTTACAATATCACAATACTTCTTCTTCTTCTCTACATCCGCCAAATGTTCGTAGTGATATCGCACTTTCTTTTGACAAATCGCTTTTTTACAACAGAAAAAGCAATGTCTTTATGGACGATAGAAGCAACATCATCATATAGTGTCACCTCTTCCAGAAGGTAATCATGCAAAAGGAGGTTCGCCGTCGATAACATGCGGTAGTCTTGCACCCACACGGCAATATTTGGTAGCCCATGCATTCCTTGTAACTTTAACGGATCGATAGCTGTAAAATTTTACTAAGTTTGATAGTTTTATAATTCTGTGGGTAACAAATGTCAGATATCTCGGAATCAACTGATGGTCTCAGTTCAATAGAAGCAGTAGCAGCATTTTACTCAAATCTTGACAATCTTTGACGTAAAGAAACTGTCATTCTGCTTGGAGAAGTGGAATTGAGTGCTGGCGCAGAAGAATTTGCAATTGCTGGTGCAGGAGCAGTTCTCGGTACATTGTTGAGGAATACAGGAATATCAATTAGTTCCATTTGGTAATTTCCGAAAGACGTGAGATATTGAAATGTACTTCTGATTCATTTTTTGTAGCTTATAGGGGCGATCTTAGCCTACTAAATATTCCTGAGGAAATTACATTATCAAGAAGGTTTTGACCAAAGACATGTCTCAGCCGGAAAACCGTTCATCATGATTCTTTGTTTCGATGGAGAAAATATAATCGCCAGTTTTTTTTATAAATACGGCATATAACTGGTTAGGTAATAATTTTTAGATGTTGTGCTCGTTTGACTTACAAATTCTTTATAGTTCGATTGTTGGAAGTAGAAAAATTCTAAAGACCTGCAGAAGCTCACATCGTGATGGTAAAAATCAAATTTTTCAGCATGCAAGAGTTTAAGCACTTAATTTTGTAAACGTAGAACCACAGCAATCATTCGCTCTCTCTTATGTTAACCTGTATTTAATGAATGTCAAGTGCGTAACCGCGGAAAACTCCAAGAAATTGTTCACACATGCCACTATAGGCCTGTAAGACGTTACTAATCTAAAACGACAGGTAATACGCTTTAATTCATACTGTGATTTATACTTATAATAAATCATACTTTATTATGCTATAGTAAAACTACCGTTTCTGAAGCCAAAAATGGGGGACTTCTTTAAATATGTGATTCGGTGGCCGATAGGACAGGTATTACTAAGGAAGCAAAAGGGCCTTGTTTCTTATCAGCTTCGCTTTTTCAATGGCGACGTCAATCGATGGCTCTTTTGGAATTACTCTCTTTAAATAACGGCTAATGTCTGGACAGCCGCCTGTTGATGACTGGAGTAAGTACTGTAATGGCTGTTTCACTATTTCGCTCAAGAAGAAAAAGATCTTCCATATTTTAAAATTCAATTGGCTCTATTATGGCGACCTTAAGTCCAGATTTGGCTTGACTCACTCTTTATTCATAACGACTTATGTCTGAAAATCTGCGTACTGTCAATGCAATTAAGTACTGCAATGGCGTTGGCTCTTATCCTCTCCAGAAAAATAATCTTTGTTTTCATTCTTTACACTTTCTCAATGGCGACATGGGGGCTGGAATTTCAGGAATCACGCTCTATACATAACAGCGTGCACGTTGAAGGATGATTGTTCTTGACTACTGGAGTGTGTGATACCATTGTGTTGTCTGTTGTTCGCTTAAGAAAAAAAATGTTTCGCTTCATTTCCGTAATGACGACATCAGGAAATGACTCTGCTGAAATCACTCCCTAAAAGAAACGGGTTATGTCTGGTGGCCCGCTTGTCAACAGCTAAAGGTTGCACTGCACAGCTGGTATCTCTTATGAGCTCAAGAAAAAAAAACTTCTTATTTTTATTTGCTTTCTTAATGTTGACCCCAAATCAGGTCCCAATGGGAATCACGCCTCATATGTCTGGAATTTGCTTTATTACTGATTGAAGTTTGTACTGCACTGTAGGAACTGTGTATAAATTCAAAAAAATAAATATCTGTTTTTATATTTATTTCGCTTTCTTAAAGTCGACATCAAGTCAAGCATGAGCGGTTATCACTCTTTATGAATAACCGCAAATGTGTCGAAGCTTGCTTCCTCCTGAATGGAGTGCGCTCTGCAATTGCCGTGTCAAGAAGAACATATTCACTTTTTCTTGATTCATTCGGTTTTTTCTCTTGGCGATATTAAGTCTACGTTTTGCTGGTATTATTTTTCAAGATATGCTTAATTAATGTTTCTAAATGATATTGTTTTTGTTATGTTTATATTAATTAGGTGGGTGAACGTCTTTTCAAATTGGTGCGATAAAATTGGATCATCAAAAGCTGGCGCTTTCGTTTGGGAAGTAAACAAGATATATATTTCTAATGGCCGAAGGGGCAATGGTTAGTTTCATAATTTATAACCGTTTGCTAATGTCACATTCAAGAATTTAGTACGAGTGAATTTGCTTCAGGATTTCTTTAACGAGGATGAATACACTTCATAGTTTCGTACCTATAGAAAGCACACAATGTCAAAAGCAATACGAAGAAAAAACAAGATGTAACACCTAATTTAGTATTAAAATTATATACTGATTCCGTGTATTTTTTTATTTGGGGACAGTTGGTGGTAGGGTAATGTACTGAAGAAGAGGAAATTTTTGCACTGTTATGCTTGTAACTAACTGGAATTATTATAGAATAAGAAAAAGAAGAGGTAATGCTTAATCCTCTGTTTGATCGAATTTTCTGCTCAGTTGTCGTATTTAATTTGTGTAGAATCTCGGATGTGTGTCATGCAGCCTGCTGCAATAAGTAATAATACGGAACAACTTTTATTTTCCGACAGTGTTAAAGATAATAGCCGAAACATGCCTGAAAATAGTGGATCCTGGTTTTTGAGAGTGTTCTACAGTCAACATTTGGTGGAGGAGATTCTAGTAACAGCCAGAAAAAAGTAATGGTGATTGCTGTTGGTATTTAGTGGTTTGCTGATCCCATTATTTAATTTATTAAGACTTTAGATAAGATGTTGTTTGTGATTTAATGACGACGAATGTTATTACTGTGCATGGTCTCGGTTTATATATTTGGCTGTGATGTTTGAGGAATTATTGTATTGTGATGACGTACGCTGCCGCTTCCTACTTATCTGCGAATATTGGTTGATATTAACTTGATTCTATGGACTGCCCGGATGTGTTTATTAAAACAGTGAAGCCATGTGGATCATTATTCTTACAAGTTTCCGAAGAAAAATAAAGCTACCAGCATACAGCAAAGGAAATATTTCCTAAAGTTATCTTCATTATATTAGCTTTGTAAAAATGTACATCAAATAACATAAATCTTGAATGCGATCCTTCAATTATATTGAGGCACCTTTAGCAAGATCCTAAAAGGTAGATCATCAATGACAGTATATCAATGATAAAATTGGAAGTTTAATTAGACTTTAGAATTTCTACATGCTTAGCTATATCTAATACAAAAAATACAATAATTATGCTGGTAAGACAGTTGCATATTCCTGGTTGGGTTCTTCAGGGTGTTTTTTATCCGAGTTGCAATCATTAAAATATGTGGTTTGAAGTTCTACGCTCATGTTTTCAGAAGTCGTGTGATGTTGAACACAAATTTAAACCCACAAATGGATAATATAAACGTCAGAGGATTAAACTGATGTTCTTAAGTGATATTGAAGTACATTAATTATCATTATCGCGGCCAAAACATAAAAAGTCGCGATAAGTATCCTTACTAAACAACAAGAATCTTTGAAGCAGATATTAAGTTAAGTGTACATGGTCGATAGAGTTAGTGTTGAAAATTCGGATAAATGTTTTTTGAATAAAAAACGCTATACATATTCCATTTATTCTTATCAAAACCCTTAAAACCTGAAAAAGTGCTTTTAATGTGCTTATTTTTTTTTGTAGGGAAAGGCAGCGCAGCTGTCTTTCAAAATTTTATTTAATGTCCCGGTGGGACTAAAAGGGGGGTGAGATTTTTATAATTGAATAGTTTTTTTGTAAAGTAACAAAGCATAATGTCAAGGGGTGACAATGAGGACAAATAAAACGGTCGACGTATTTCTTAAAGGCAAATAATGTACTACTAATCAGCCAGCGATTGAAAGTGTAATTGCCATACGATAGACAGGCAGCGTGTTAGTACCGTGGTGGTAGTGAAAGGTTGATCGTCAAACACTAGTTGCCAATGGGATCTCCAGATCCCTTGCAATATACAACCTATAACGGATATAAACGTCAACGAAGTGGCAACAGGAGATCTTGTGTTGTGTAAATCACCGAAGTCAAGCGCAAGGAGAATGGATAGTATTCGACCAGGTACGATTGTTACGTTTGGAAAGAAGGTAGACAAACACTGAAGCCAGATAGCTTGTTTAGTGGGACAGTCATATAGAAAGTGGTGTAAAGTATCCTCAGTTTGTGGACAATGGATACAACCAGCAGTAGGAAAGGAGTCCGGGATGATACTGTGTAAGAGACTTTTGTTAGGCAACTTGTGATGAATCGCACGATACCATATTGTAAGAATGCTGGGGGAAATGGGTAAACCCCAAACGTTTTTCCATTTGCCTATACTAAAGGTGGTAGTGGGCTTTGGAGGAAACAAAGAATCACGTAGCAGTATTCCCAATTGTTTCGGATTATCGAATGCCAGAATAAATGTGGACATTTGAGAGTCGAGAAGAGGACGGAGATCGATAGACCCAGTGGACTCTATTCGAGAACCCAGGAGACGACCGAAGTTGCTTGTAGACTGGATACACCCACTGGCGTTTGCTACACGGAACTTACGAAGTAACGTTGGAAATCTAGTTTCGCGATCAGATCGTTGTCGAAAGATATGTGTATCGGGATCCACTATGAAGAAATCGCGTACCAATATCTTTGACATACTGGCGCTGTTACGAGGAAAGACCACGGAAATAAGCGATGCAGAGGCTGGAATGTCAGGCGTTCGCGGAGTTGGAATAACAATTGAAGCCAAATCCAAGTGTAGAATTGTCGCCAACGACAGGTTAGACTGACTAATGTCACAGGTTGGTAAGGAGTCCATAAGGGAGAAAAGCAACACGAAAGAATTGGATGTTAACGAACGAAACCCTCGTCTTTTTGTTGAAAACAGCAGTGGCCATAGATGAGAGAAGGCTCCTCCAGATGCAATGAGGGATAGGCCGTATTTGAGATAGGGGACACACGTGTGTAGAAAAGACCGATCATTATATACAGGCTGTTGTAGCACTGCGGGAGCAATAATCAAGTCAGCCAGCCAACGCCAGTGGAGTTTAAGTTGTTGAACTAGAGGATCCAAAATGCCAACACCGCCTTTTGTTTTGTACGGAACAAAGTTGCGATATGCAATTCGAGGAAATCGGGATGCATTAAGAAAAGTGCTGCAAATTCCTCGTAAGCGATCAATTTGACCTTTGGTCAGAGGAACTATTCGTAATACGTGCCATAATTTGGAGAGCAGAAGGGTGTTGAGAACTACGGTTCGGCCTTTAATGGATAAGTTACGTTCAGAGTGAATATCACATCCGTGTTGTATCTTTTGTATTAATAGGTCGATCGCTAGGTTTTTCTGGGATGCGTTAAAGTATAGTGGATATCCAAGGTAGATTAGAGCAGTAGGGGAATGTCGATCATGCCATGAAGTAATGGGTGTTTCCCTTGAACTGAGGTAGGTCGTCCAATAGTGACTTGATTTGCCTGACAAGGAGAAAGCTTGGGTTTTAGCAAAATTTAGTTTGGCATTGGAGGCGAGGGTATACTGGTTAATGAGTCGTTCTAAGCAAATAAAATCTTGATGGGACTGTAAAAACACAAGAGTGTCATCGGCATAGGCCATAACTTTTAAAGACTCCGGGGATGGTTCGGCTACTAATTCTGGAAAAGTGAAGCCATCGAAATTTGTTGCCTGTTGAATAGAACGAAGGAATGGATCAAAAGCAATGTTAAACAGCAGAGGTGAAATGGGATCACCTTGCCGTAGACCTCGTTGTTGTAAAACAGGTGTTGACAGGTGGCCATTAATGTTGATGTGAATCTTGGTATTAAAAAATAAAGTGCAAAGTGACGATATCATTGGGCTGGGTATTCCAAATTGGGTCATCATTCGTGCTAGATATGACGGATGGATTCGGTCATAAGCTTTTTCTTGGTCTAGTAATAGTCCAATAGCGTTAGATGAGGTGTGTTCGGCTATAGACATTACAGCTTGCAAAGTTTTTCCATTTTCACCAATGAATCGACTAGGCATAAATCCCATCTGTTGTGGACTGATCAGATCATTCATGTACATCATTAACCTGGAATTCAACATGCGAGTAAAGAGTTTGGCATCTGTGTTGATCAGACTAATTGGTGTATGATTACTTAGATTGGTGAGATCACCTTTTTTGGGGAGTAGGATCATACAAGTTTTGTTCCAACTAGGAGGAAAAATACTTTCCATGAGAGCATCATTGTACACTTGTATAGCCACACGTATTGCAGTTGCATTATGTAAAACATGAAAAAGTATTTGATATGGAATTCCATCTATTCCGGGACTACTTTGTGAGGGAGTTCGTTTAGCAGCTTCCAATAAGTCGTCTTTAGTGAATTCGGTTAACAGATATTCGCGTTGACTATCATCAAGCACCACAATGTTAGGTATTGTGTTAGCTAGCTGATCTGTTGCATTTACATCGATGTCGTCTGGAGTATATAGATTCTGATAGAAAGAATGAGCGGCACCGGTCAAAGTTGCAGGAGTTGTACATGATGCTGATGTGACTGGATGTGTCAATTCCGGAATGAAGCTCTTAGTGAGGCGAGCTGTAATAGAACGTTTTAGGAAAGAAGGCGAAGATTCACCTGTTTCCTTCCAAAATTTTTTGGCTCGTAAAGAGTCATTGGTAGTTATTTCCTCTTGCAGACCTTGAATTTTTGCCTCCACTTTGGAAAGTTTAAATTGCAAAACAGCAGGAGTCAATGATGCGTCGTTGTGTATATAAGTTCGTTTTTGCTGTAGCACATCTAAATGTTTCTTGCGCCAATTGGCATGATGACGACCCGTTTTACGTGCAACTTTTTTAACAGTTTCCTTGATACGATCCCATCGAAGCTGAGGGCTAAGATTAGGAGGAAACATTGAGCAGGTTTTATCTATCTCGTGGTGCATTGAATCCAAAAATTTTGGGTTAGAAGCTAAGGCCGGATTTGCTCGCCAAAGTCCTTTTCCTAAATGGGTAAAACTGCACTTAAAAGAAAAGGTCAAAAGAGCATGGTCAGTCCATGCTGGTGATATAAATTCCACGTTGGATTTGATTTTATCAGAGAATAAATCAGTTGTCGAATATATATAATCAATAGTAGACATCTGTTGACCCCGTCGAAATGTCGGTGATATAGTAGCTGAGTCCAAGCAATTTCTAAAATTGGATTGAAGCTCTTGATTCCAGCGAACTTGGTGGTTAGCCAAAGCTCGTGTGCCAGACAAAGTATTGGATACATCACTAAGACTAAAATTAAAATCACCAGTGATGATTGTTCGAGTAGGCAAACTTGGCGTACTGGAGGGAAGATCGACTGTAGACATATCGTCACTGGAGCGAAGAAAAGGCATTTCAATGATGCCTGAAAAAAATTGCTGACGCTCAGCGAGTTGTGCTGGCCCATATATAGTAACAACAGTGAGAGGATCAAAGGTACGATGAACATGAGTAATGGTACACTTTATCACCCGTTGGTCTATTGTTATGAAATCTGGAGTTAGCTGTAATGAAGGGTTAAAGCAAACAATGCCACAATGTTTGCTCCACACTGTTTGTTTGGTTTGAAATAAATTATCAAGAAGTAACTTCAATTCGGTAGTTGAAGCGTGTGTTTCTTGTAGAGTAATAATGTCTAGAGGTGGGTTCTGTTTACGCAGAAAGCGGATAAAGTCT